GTTATGAGAGATCGTATTGCCACGCAAGTTAGTTCGTTGCCATAGATCATATTGCCACACATAAGAGTTCGTTGGCATAGATTGTATTGCAACGCTAGTAGCATTTGAATTGTAGTTTAATAAATCATCATTGCAAAAACAATAAACCATAATAAAAATGATTTCACTCACATTTATTAATTATAATAAATCATTTAACAAGTTGACAAACCATTGTAGTATCTAAAATAATAAAGGAGTGTACGGTACATAGAATTTCATGACTGTTTAAAACTTTCAGCAGTACAAGACTTCCTAACATCTATGCAGCACTTGTGGACTTCCTAGCAATGCAACCGGTCATGATCTCGATTGTGTCTTCGCTAGATTCTGGGCCTCCCACACAAAATCTGCCCACCTATTCACCAAAAGAATAAGATCGGGATATTAGCAAACTAGATTTAATAATTCATGCAAATAATGTAAAGAAATTTCGATACAACATGTTTCATCCATTTAGCAATTAAATTCTTTACAAAATTAAAATACATCCCTTTGTCAAGCAATAAACAATAGGTATTGACTAAATCTGAACTAACAGGAGTACACACATACAACCAAACATATATAATAATAACCTGTCATTTTAACTAAATCTGAACTCAAATGCTCACCTCACTTTCCAGGAATGCCTAAAGAAGCTTAGGTGTGGCTATCTGAACTTCACATGATGTGCAAATGGTTCTTCAGAGCCTTCCCAAGAAGCTAACTCAATTTTTTTTGAAACAAAGGACTGTGGGGGAGATCCCCACAGTAGATTTTATAAATAATTTAAGCAACAGACAAGATTACAAACCTGTTTTAACTGAAAGCATCTAGCCAAAAGCAAAAGGAAGACCTAAGGTCCTCCCTGAGTCTAACGGATTGCAAATTACATTGATGCTTGAAATTTACAAGCCATAGAGAAGGAGTTGGGTCTCGACGCTGAAAAATCTTGTCGTTTCTAAGTTTCCAGAGCTCCCATGCTGCAATTAGGGATGCTTCGACGAAGAAGTCCAAAGCATGCACCTCATTGGCCCTCATCAATCTTTCAGCTAGTGACAGGGAGACGTCCCAGGAGAAGTTAATTGAGGTCCAACACTGAACCACAAACAGGCACGTAAAGAAAAGATGATCAATATCTTCCTCAGCACCTTGGTTGCACATAACATAGAGTACATCATCTTGTATGTTCAGGTGCCTTCTTCTTAACATCGTCTTCGTATTTAGTCGGTCCATCAACACTAGCCACGCAAAAAACTTCACATGAGGTGTGCACTGAGATTTCCAGAGTACCTTGAAGTAAGGAGTCGAAGCCATGCCACTGAAGACATGATTGTAGAACCGCCGTAATGAATATTGGGGTCCCCATAGCATTGTCCAGAAATCTGTGGTGCTATCATCATATTCCAAGGTGACAAGGTGATTCTGTAGATCCATCATCTCCTCATAAGCCTGAGTTGACAGTGGAAGCACAAAAATGTCATAACCTCAAATGCTCATCTCCTCATAAGCCTGGGGTCCCCATCGCCTTGCGCGAAACCTTCTCAAATTTTTATCACAACCTCCACATATGATATCATGACATCTTGACAAGTTTCATGATTTTCGGACTTCGTTTGCTTTTTATAGAATTTAAAAACAACTCGACCGCAAGTTTGTGGTCATGTTTCGTGAACAAGATGTTCAAAATTGGTGGTCTAGTCCTGAATATGGCCTCACATTATACTAAATAACATGAATATCATTTTTCCATTCATTTTTTCATTATTCGAATGATTAGCAGGTATAATTTGAATTATCCAAGAAAATTCAATTAAATGAAATAAATTAAATAAATATAGAAAAAGTCCAAGAAATGTGCCACATTGGAACATAGAGTACCAGGTATTGTATGAGGACTGCAGAAAAAGTTTGGAGGTCAAAAGTGAAAAAAATATGGTTTGCCGAGTGTCAAAAAATGACACTCGGCAAATCACCGCTTTGCCGAGTGCCAAGACGTATGGCACTCGGCAAAGATTTTTTTTTAAAAAAAACCTCTTTGCCGAGTGCCAGGCCCAGGTGGCACTCGGCAAAGAATTAAAAAAATAAAAAAAAACTTTGCCGAGTGCCAGATCGGGGGCACTCGGCAAAGGGGGATTTAACCTCCCGGCCCAGCCGGCCCACACACACCGCACACACGCACGCCCACGCCCGCGCCCGCACACACGCCGCCGCCGGAGGAGGAGGAGAAAGAGAGGAGGAGGAGAGGGGGAGAGGTGGAAGGAGGAAGAAGGAGGAAGAGGAGGAGGAAGGAGGAAGAGGAAGGAGGAGGAGGAGGAGGCGCCCCGGCCGCCGTTGCCACGTCCCCGACGCTTCCCCAGCCGTCGCCTTGTCCATCGGCGCCTTGGCCCCTTCACCACCGCCGCCCTACGACGCCCACTAGGTATGCCCTACCGTCGTCGTCGTCGTAATATTACTAGTAGTTGCGGTAGTAGTAGTGGGAGAGTAGCAGTGGTGGTAGTTGTAGGAGTCGTAGGAGTGGTTGTGACATTATTATATATATGTGGTTGGATATAATCTTGTGCATGTCGACCATTGTGCCGTTCATATATATGTGCATGTCGGCCATCGTGCCGTTGGTTTTCTTGCAGGTTTTGAAAACCTCACCGTGCAGGGGAGGTGCTGCCGAAATTTTGTATTGATAGTTTTATGTTTCTTTTTTTATAGAGAAGAGCCCGTCGGAGCAGAGCCGGAGTACCTCGGCGACCCCGATCGTCTTCCTTGCCGCTGCGGGTCTGCCTGCACCGTGTCGCCTCGCCACTGCAACGACCCTCCATGGCCCCGCTAGCCTGACTCCACCGTCACCCTAGGTATAACCCCTCTTTTTGTATCATGGTCGTAGATCACGTAACCCAGTTAGACGTCTCCCGTTCGAAAGAGATACGGTTGGAAATATGTAGATATTTCCATGTCTGGCTAGTGCTGGCAGAGTTGAGCTATTTCTTTCGCCAGCTTTGTGCCAAGGAGTTATCTCGGATCGTGATTGTTGACTTGGAAAGAATGACACTTGTGTTGCTCTGTAAGTTGGAGAAGAACTTTCCACCCGGCTTCTTCAATCCGATGCAGCATTTGATTTTGCACCTCTCGTATGAGGCACGAATAGGGGGGGGCGTGCAGGGCCGGTGGTGTTATCTAATCGAGAGATGTCTAAAGGTTCTTCAAAAGAAATATAGAAATAAATGCAAAATCGAGGCTTCCATTGCAGAGGCATATATTCTGGAGGAGGTGGCGAACTTCACAACAACATATTATGGTGACAACCTCCCTAGCGTGCATAATCTACCCCCTCGTTACAATGCTGGCGAAAATGAATTGAACCTCAGCCTTTTCCGAGGGCAACTCCGAAGCGCAAGTGCATCGACCCCCAAGACCTTGAATCATGAAGAGGGAAGCCATATCATGCTATACGTGTTGACCAACCTCTTAGTATTGCAACGCCAATAAAACTACCCGTAATGCAAATCAAATCGTGGCAACAATGACCACTTATTGCAACTGGTTTACAATTGGTTGCGATAGCACTTACTTATTACAACGATCTTCGCACTCAAGGTCACGAAATAATTTGCGTGGCAAAAATTCCGCCTATCACAACCGAAAGTGCAAATGGTTGCAATAACACCTCTTCTTGCAACCAAATCTTGCCGTTGCGATAAAAAAGCGTGGCATAAGGGTCAGAAGTTAGTAGTGCGTGTGCCAGTAGAGAGCGCACCTCCACGCCACCACACGCCGTGTGCTGGCAAAGAGCGGCCCAGCCAGGGCCCGGCCTCCGGCAGTCGCGGGCCCCAGCAGGTCGCTGCCACCCCGGCGCCAGAGTTGGACGGGCCGGCCACGGGAAGTCTGCCGCCACCGACGCGGGCGCCCGGCCACCGCGTTGCTGGCACCCACCGCGCCACGATTCCGCCTGGACCAAGCACCGCGTCGCAGGTCTCCACGACACTGTCACGGAGCTGGTCCAGCTCACTCGGGCTCCATCCGCTCGACGCCGCGCACGGCCCGCGTGGAGGAGCTGCATGCTGTCGGAGCGAGCATAGCCTTCCGTAGGGGCTCCCGGCCACCGCGGACACGCAAGGAAGGGCGGTGCGCCGGGGTCGGAGTCGTCGGCGGGCCCCGTGCGCTATGGCGCGGAGGGGCTCGGGGACGGCTGGACCTGGCCGGCCGACGGCGGCGCGCTGGGCCCGCCCGCGGGTTCACGGCGGCCGGCGCAGTGCCTACCTGGTGGCGGCGCCTGCTACGCACGGCACGAGAGGCCACCAGAGCTGGAGATGCTAGAAGGGGGAGAGGGCGCGTCAGTTCCGGTGCAGGAGTCACCGGATCCAGACCCAGAGGACACAGATCCGGCCCCTCGCCGGCCATCCTGCTCGTCGGCGGCCACCATCATCTCCAAGTTTTTAGAGCTCGACATGAAGAAAAAGAAGGGGAGGAGAGGAGGGAGGCGATGGAAGTTGATGCGGGGTGGGCCTTGTTGGGCGCCGCCACTAGCCGGAGAGCGGCGACGGTGGCGGGGGATCTGGCGCGGCGGGGAGCGGTCTGGTGGCGGCGGCGGTATCGCACCCATGTCACCCCTGTACGAACGACAAGGGGGGGGGGGGGTTGTTCTGCTATGCTCTTAATAGTTAATAGAGAAGACTGTTGTAGGTTGGAGAGAAGACTGTTGTAGGTTGGTTTGGAGTTAGGACTGGGGCGAGTAGAGGCTGAAGTTCAATATCAAGGAACAGGTTTATCCAAACCTGCATGGAACACATTATTCAATCAAGACTACACAAGAACAACACATTAACATTTTTAGTTGTGCTAGATAGAGGAACCACACAAACCTCTAGCTTACATATGAGCGATACACCACCGTTTTTTACTTTTTTCGGCGGCCATTAATTGTTAAAACATAGAGGATTCGAAATTTTGTAAATAGTAGATGGCATGTCGATCGTGCACTGTGCTTAGGCGTTGGCCGCCTTCTCAGTGAACAACAGATCCGCGTACGGCATGAAGTGGCACACCGGCGCGCCGCCGGGCCGGAGGTTCAGCGTCTCGAACGCCGGGTGAGCCGAGCTCCAGTTGGAGGTGTCGAGGTGGCAGACGGCCACCATGTCGACCACCACCGGGGCCCCGCTGCCATACTGGAGACCTCGGAGCGTGAGCACGTACGCCTCAGTGGACGCCTCCTTCTCCATGTGGCACCTGTAGACGGCGTACGGGAACGGGTCATCGTGACAAGTCACATGGCGGCCACCGCCGAGCGGAGCCACCGTAACGACCTCGTACTCCTGCCGCGGCAGGCCCTCGCGCGGTGTCAGCGCGGACGCGGCCACCGACAGCCTCGCCGCGCTCGTACCTAGCATGCGCGCGGCGGCGCGCACGGCGCCTTCCAGGGACGTGGCGCAGGTCTTGCGCTCGCCGGCGAGCGGCGGCGCCTGGCACGCGCTTATGGTTGTGCGCACATTTGACTCCCTGGAGGAGCCCGACGCGATGGAGAACGTGGCCAGCACGTCGCTGACGTTGGCGAAGGGGGCCTTCTCGGCGTCGGCCCGCGGGAGGATGGCCGGCAGGTCGACGGGCGGGAAGTGCACCGTCATGACGCTGCCGAGGGCCACGTTCTCCTGGCGGAAGAAGACGCCCGTCGCCGCTACGGCCGCGCTCGGGCTGCAGGTGATCCGGTAGCTGTAGCCGAGGCACGCGTCGGGCTGGTACACTTGTGGGGAGGACGACGGCTGCTTGAGCGGCGAGTGGTCGGTGCCTTTCTGGACGAGTTCCGCGATGGTCGGCGGCATTGGCGTGCCCGGGAGGTTCTCCTCCCAGAACCTCGCCGCCGGAGTGGTAACGGCGGTGGTGGCGCAGGCTGGGGCGGCGATGGCGGCCACCATGATAAGAAGAAGCGCTGACGGGTGCATAATGCGTGATGCGTCGTCGACCTCGGCGGCTCACGTGGTGACCAGAGCAGAGCGTGGGAGGAGAAGCGAGCTCGAGCTCGTGCAAGGAATAAAAAGGAAGCTGTGGGCGCTAGACGGCTGCTACCTCTTGCTTGAGGAAAATGGCTCCCGCAGGTCCACAATATATAGGCTTCGAGCCTCCGACGAGCTAGTACACGAGCCCCTCCTGAACAAAGCGCACATGTTTGCCCTGCAGCTAGTTGCACTGCATCTGCGGCGTGGGTGTGGTCGATCCTGCCGACAGCCGTCCTGCGGTCAGCTCGCTTTGACCGTGTACCGTCCGTGAAAATTTCTCCCGTATAATATAATATAATATAATATAATATAATATAATATAATATAATATAATATAATATAATATGGATGAGAGCTTCAGGCTAGATCATACAGGGCTCACTACAATGCAAGTTGATGAATAGTAACTCAGGGCTCCACGCATGCATGGATGAGAGCTGAGGAACAAGGGGCGAGCGAAAATTCTCTGCACGTCGGTTGGTTGGTGGACACTCCGATCAACCTGCATTATTGGCGCCGCAGCTCTATCGATCAAGAAATGCAACTGGGGGAGTACGTACAGGCAGCCCTCCTAGAATCGTGTGTGAACGCGTGTGCGTACGTATTATCGACTCGATGAGCAGCAGAATGCTCGACCGGAAGGAACCTGCGGCGCAGCCGGGCTTAATTTAGTTTGTGCGCACAGTGCCACAGTCGTCCACAATGGCGTCACACCTTTTGCGCCGCCGGCCGGCTCGCCGGAGGCGGATCAATATAATCTCCTCTTCCCTATGGCGTCACCAAGGCTCGTTTGGGAGTGCTTCCCAGGGCTCCGGTTGTTCTCTACTGCTTAAAAAAAATGAAATGAACAGAGGCGATCAAGTTTACAAAAATTGGCTTCCACCTCCGTTTGCACAACTCTGTTTGACTGTTTTTTTCTTCTTCTCAAATACGCATGAGTATGCGTATCGTTGTATTAAGTAGATAGAGGTTTCAAATTTACAAGAGTTTGCCGACGCCGGCCCGGCGAAAGTTAAACGCTACATTGTAGGGATACAACTGGATGCAATCATCTCTGCCCCTAGGCTTGCGCTATGGCTGCTAAACCTTTTGCTCCGGCCTCGATCCACCGGTCAGCTTCAGCCTTGATGATCTGAAGCAGCTCGTTCATGGAAGATGGTGCTTGTCTGAAGCAACGGGTGTTGCGCTCTTTCCAAACCTACCAGGAGACAAGAGCGAACAGACTGTCCAAACCATCCCGACGCTCGCCGTTCCAGAGTGTGCGTTGTTCAACTATGATCCAAATTCAAGCTTGGGTCGAAGCGAAGCGCCCATTAGCGTTAAGAGGAACTACACCATCTATTAGTTTCAGATTGCTAATAGATGAGGGTGTGACATTTTTCTCCCTATATATACGGACCACCTCCCTCATGGAAAAGATGCATCATATATTTCTATACGGAAGACCCCCAGTTAGGGTATCCCCAAGTTATAAATCTTCGACGTTTGTAACCTCACCCGATATAGTGAAGATTTGTTGGTCGGTGCCTCGTGGTTTTTTCCTTCCACCTTGGGAGGATTTTCCACGTTAAAATCTCGTGTCCCCTGTGCTTGATCTACTGTTATTCGTCGTTTATATTGTCTATCGTTTATAACAAGTGGTACCAGAGCTTGGTTTGACCTTAGGGTTTCGCGATGGCATCGATGAAGTTTGATCTACCGCTGCTGGATTACAAGACGAGATTTACACTGTGGCAAGTCAAGATACGGGCGATTCTGGCACAATCTTCGGATCTTGATGAGGCGTTGGGCGGTTTCGGAGGAAAAGGGCAGAAGTCATGGACCGCTGAAGAGAAGCGGAAGGATCGTAAGGCTCTGTCTCTTATTCAACTTCATCTACATAATGATATTTTGCAAGAAGTGCTGCAGGAGAAAACTGTCGCAGAACTTTGGCTCAAGCTGGAATCGCGATCTGCATGTCCTAGAATCTAACCAGTAAGATGCACGTGAAGATGAAGTTGCTCATGCACAAGCTGCAAGAAGGTGGTTCGGTGATGAACCACTTATCGATCTTTAAGGAGATCGTTGCCGACCTAGTGTCGATGGAGGTAAAATATGATGATGAAGATTTAGCTCTTCTACTATTATGCTCACTGCCTACTTTGTTTGCAAATTTTAGAGATACCATACTATTAAGCCGTGATGAACTAACCCTTGCGGAAGTATATGAGGCCCTCCAGATGAGAGAAAAGATGAAATATATGGTTCAGTCTGATGTGTCGTCCTCCAAGGGCGTAGTGTTGCAGGTTAGAGACAGGCCCGAGCAGAAAACCTACAACAACAACAATAATCGAGACAAGAGCAAGAACGGTAAAGGTCGTTTGAAGTCCAGAGGCAGGGATAAGTTCTGCAGGTATTGTAAGAAAGATACTCATGTCATTGAGGATTATTGGAAGCTGCAGAATAAGGAGAAAAGAAACGGTACGTATAAACCGAAAAATAAATCTGATAGTGATGGTAAGGCCTTTGTTGTCTCCGCTGTTCATAATTCTGATTCAAGAGTTGTTCTGGTTGTTTTTGCTGGTTGTGTTGCTGGTCGTGATGAATGGATACTTGATTCTGCATGCTCGTTTTATATATGCTCTAACAGAGATTGGTTCAGCCTTTACAAGTGCATGCGAGTGGAGATGTCGTGTGTATGGGAGATTACAACCCATGTGAGATCGTGGGCATTGGCTCTGTTCAGATCAAGATGCATGATGGCATGATACGCACACTGAAAGATGTGAGACACATACCAGGGATGGCCAGAAATCTCATCTCCCTCAGCACACTTGATGCCGAGGGGTATAGACACTCTGGTTCAGATGGAGTGTGTAAGGTATCAAAAGGCCCTCTCATTCATATGATAGGTGATATGAATTCTACAAAGTTATATGTTCTTAGAGGAAGTATTTTACATGGTTCCATCACTGCTGCTACTGTTTCTAATGATGAACCAAGTAAAACTAATCTCTACATATATCGTCTTGGGCATATGAGTGAACTTGGTATGGCGTAAAAATGATCAAGAGAGACCTGTTGGATGGCTGCACTATAGGTAAGATGAAGTTATGTGAGCACTGTGTTTTGGGTAAGCACAAGAGGATAAAATTCAATGCATCTGTTCATACCACCAAAGGTACACTTGATTATGTACATGCTGATTTATGGGGGCCATCTCATAAGCCCTCTTATGGTGGTGCTCGTTACATGCTTACCATTATTGATGATTACTCTAGAAAAGTGTGGCCTTACTTTCTAAAAATAAAGATGATACTTTTGTTGCTTTTAAAGAGTGGAAAGTTATGATAGAAAGGCAAACTAAAAAGAAGGTAAAATTGCTTCAGTCTTGACAATGGCGATGAATTACATCGGATGCTTTTAATGATTACCGTAGGGAAGAAGGCATTGTTAGGCACCACACCATCCCATACACTTCTCAGCAGAATGGTGTGGCTGAGCGCATGAACCGAACCATCATCTTGAGGGCTCGTTGTATGCTGTCCAATGCTCGTATGAACAGGCGTTTTTTGGGCTTTGAGGTCGCTAACACACACTTTGTTACTTGATCAACCGATCACCTTCTATCCCACTTAATAAGAAAACTCCCATTGAAGTATGGTCTGGTATGCCAGCTGATTATTCACAGTTGAGAGTTTTTTGTTGCACTGCTTATGCTCATGTTGATAATAGAAAGCTAGAACCTAGAGCCATTAAGTGTCTGTTTCTTGGTTATGGTTCTGGAGTTAAATGATATAAGTTATGAAATCCTGAAACTAAAAAGACTTTCATGAGCAGGAACGTTGTTTTCAATGAATCTGTTATGTTTAATGACAGCTTGTCCACAGATGTTTCACTAGTTGGTTCTGATGAGGAGCAGGAACATGTTAGCGTGCAGGTAGAGCGTGTAGATGATCAGGAAACTGAAATTATTGATAATAATGTTCATGATATTGTTCAGCACTCACCTCCTGTTTTACAACCTCAAAATCAGTTTATTGCAAATCGCAGAACAAAGAGGAGTTGTGGACCTCATCCACGTTTAATTGAGGAATGCGATATTGTTCATTATGCCTTTAGTTGTGCTGAACAGGTTGAGAACATTCATGAGCCGCTACGATTACTTGAAAGTCATTGTTTCGGTGACCGCGAGAAGTGGATTTTCGCTATGCAAGAAGAGATGCAGTCACTTGAGAAAAATGGCACATGGGATGTTGTGCGCTTGCCTAAACACAAGAAGGCCGTTCGTTGCAAATGGATCTTCAAAAGAAAGATGGGTTTGCCTCCTAGTGAGCCTCCAAGATTTAAGGCAAGGTTAGTAGCAAAAGGTTTTAGTCAGATTCCTGGCGTTGATTATAATAATGTGTTCTCTCCAGTTGTAAAGTATAGTTCAATTCGTATATTTTTCGGTATTGTTGCTATGCGAGATCTTGAGCTTGAGCAGTTAGATGTAAAGACTGCGTTTCTACATGGAGAGCTCGAGGAGGAGATATACATGGACCAGCCGTAAGGGTTCATAGTACATGGTAAGGAAGACCATGTTTGCAAATTAAAGAGGTCATTATATGGTTTGAAACAGTCTCCTCGTCAATGGTATAAAAGGTTTGATTCTTTTATGATGTCACATGGTTTTAAGAGGTCTGAATTTAATAGCTATGTGTATATTAAATTTGTTGATGGATCACCTATATATTTCTGTTATTATATGTTGATGATATGTTGATTGTTGCCAAGAGTAAGAAAGAAATCACTACGTTGAAGAAACTGTTGAGTAGTGAGTTTGAGATGAAGGATCTTGATGCTACTAAGAAGATTCTAGGTATGGAAATTACAAGAGATAGAAATTCTGGTTTGTTATTTCTTAGTCAGCAAAGTTACATTAAGAAAGTTCTTCATCG